TAGGATGAGATCAATGCAAATATGACCTAAGTTTATTGAATTTCAAATTTCCAACAACACCAAACCACCCCAAAAGGTTATAAAAAAAGCTCACTGAAAAACACCAGGAAGAAAAATAATAAATAAAATAGGTAAGGACTGACCTATACCAGTAGACAAAATAGAGGCCAATAAACCATAATGGTAAATCAAAATAACAGTGCATAACAGACAGTGTAAAAATACTGTCCAGGTAATAATGTCCATATAAATATTTCCTTCTGCTCTATATCGTTTTTATCATTTGAACGCAGATTGCTGAAATAGATAGACTATATTTGCATTGATCTCAGCCTGTGGACATTTTGTGGTTTTCCTGGCATCCATTATTCAAAAACCCTTTAAAATGCAAATATTTCACACAGGGAAAAATGTTCTAAACTATTAATGTGACCTTTAAATCGTTTTACTATTAATGTGACCTTTAAATCGTTTTTTGAAGTTTATGTTTTGTATGTTTTATGTATGTTTAATTTTTTGTGTGCTTTAATGACACTGGGTCCGCTCCATTTTAGTACACCGGTGCACCGCTTAGCGTGTAACAGCGAGGGGCGGGAAAGCTGTTAAAATATAAAATAAAAAAATATCTGTCAGCCAGCGGCGGCAACCACTAACTGTCAGCTGACAAAACAAACAATAATGTCGGCCTACAGGCCAAAATTCACTGTAGCCTTCCTCGTTAACGAATAATTGCCTGCTTGGATATAACCGTCAAATGGTGTTCAGACTCCACCTACTCGGCGCATCGCAGGCGTACGCCGGAGTCGTAATGGTGCGGACCCACTAATAACGCATAACAAAAACCGGAAGTTACGACTCTTCCTCGGTGCGTTCGTTTTATACTCCACCGTCGAGCTGTCGGGCATTCCTCTTTTAAGATTCTACGCAGCTCCTCACGTTTGCTTTACGCCAGGTCATAAAACGAGCGCTTTATGTCCGTTGCTCTCATAACGTGTTCAAAGGACATGTAGAAGTTACATGCTTGCCCTGTCTGTCTAACAGCAGAGTTTACCCGTTTGTCCATCGAGAAAACAGCTGTCAGCTCGCCAGGATGTTTAACAGAAGTAACAATAACATCAGATATATACTGAGCCTTGTCCCGGGCAAACGGCGTCTTGGGACGTACCGGTTTCTTCCCATCTTCTTTTGCATCGGAGGCGTCATGGAGTGGATCATGATCAACGTCAGGATAGGAAAGGAGACTTTCTGTGAGTGTAAAATCATTAATCGAGTTCAGACCTCAACAGTAAACCCTTGTTTTTTTCTAGGCATGTAAGCTAGCTGACGTTAGATGTAGCATGACAGTGGGTATGCTAGCTTGTTAGTACAGTGCCTGCGTATAGTGTTAACGGCTGTTAAAAACAAATGAACCCAAACTTGCTAAGTGTTAGCATTAAGTAGCATTAACTAAATAATGACTTGATGGAGTTTAGTGAGTACATTTTGTGTAACAAGCTACTTTAATTAATTTTGAACGTTATAACAATACAAAAATAGCCATGTTAAATGTTTCATTAACCATATAGTGTGTTTAAAGACTTTACATTGGCCCACTGTGAGGAATGTGTTGATATACAGGACTCATGCCTTTGTTGACCTTTTAAACAGGCCCTAAAACCTTCCTCTCCTCTGCTCCTCTGTTAACAAGAAATATGGAAAAACAGTCACTGTACAGTACACCCACACATACTACAGGCAGTTAGGTAGGTCAAATCAATGGAGGACACTCTGCATGTCCAGCTGCCAACCAAAAGGAATAAACATTACAATATATCTTGACTCAGGGTTGATATAATTGTGTAACAGTATGTTATTGCCATTATGCTTAAACTTTAAACAGCTGATATTGTCTCAAACAAATAATCACTGGGTATTCCTATCTTTAAACCCTGATGCAGACTTTAAGGAGAAGACAACATACAGTGTGTTATGATAATATGAAAATTAAAAGGGACCCACATCATCAGAGGTGGAAGAGATACTCAGATTCTTTAGCAAAATCACAATATAAAAGTACTCTACCACTCAAACTACTTAATATACATAAAATATTAAAAGTGAAAGTAATCATTATCAATCATGTCAGTAATCAATCATGTCAGTCACTGCCCATGAACTGCCCATGAACTGCCCATGAACTGACAAACTGTCAAACTAGGCAGTGCTGATCAAATATGAATCAAGGTTGTGTTACTGCATTGCCTATTTCTCACCACAAATGTTTTCAGAAACATATTTTATTGCACTGTTCAACTGTAAAATGAGGAAGTTTGTGACCCAGTCAACACAAAGCACTGCCTAGAGCAAACTTTCTCGTTTTACAGTTAAACAGTGCACTATAATATGTTTTAGAAAACATTTGAGGCTATAAAATGACTGCAGTAACAGAATCTTGATTCATATGTGATCAGCGCTGCCTAGTTTAACAGCTTGACTGCAGTTTGATGAGCAATGATTGACATGACTGACAGATATGTTAGAGACTCCTTGGTTTTGATTGGTTGCTCTTGTGATTCTTGCAAATACCATTAGGTGCACTATGAGGAGGAGGCAGAGGAGCATGGTTTCTTTCACAGATCATCTGCCTCATGTATTAATGTAAGGGTATAGTGACATATCTACAAAAAACATACCTGTCATATTTGCAGAAAACGTTACCTAAATAACATTGAATCTATAAAACGGCAGAAAAGACTGGGAAATGAAAAGAAAAATGTACAATGTTATAACAGAGAAAAGCAGCAAATCCTCACATTTGAGAAACTGGAACTAGATATTTTTGGCATTTTTGCTTAAAAAAATTAAAACAATCATCAAAATTGTTGCTGACTGATTTATTTTGATGGACTAACCAATTAATTAATAATTGCTTAAACTCTAATATGCTGTTAGATTTTAAGTCTTGATTCACTCATGTGTAAACATCATTTCAGCACCTTGTACAGCTGGAGCCAGCTACTTTATACTGCTAAATACTTAACAGTTTATCACATTTTATAAACTGATAACATGCTTTGTATGTAATAATGTATGAGTCTTCAAAACAACTTACTATATATGTCCAATAATTACAATACAGTATTACCCACTGAAATGTGGAGGAGTAGAAGTACTGTAAAGCAGCATAAAAAGATACAGAAAAAAAAGTAAAGTATAAATACCTCAAACTTAGTACTTTATGACAGTACTTGAGTAAATGTATTTTCAACCACTGCATATCACATTGTTGATAAAGCATTCCTATGTCTGCAGCTACACCTGTAGTGAGTTTATATGCTACTGGATCACTCTGAAGATTTAAAAAAAGAACCCTGATGTGTTTCTACTTTCACTGGTCCCACATCCATTTATTCCAGATGTGCTCGAATGTGCCATTTCAGTAGAACTAAAAGAAGCCAAAATCCTCTCATGTAAAAAAAAAAAAAAAAAGAAAAAAAAAAACAGCTGCCCTGCATATTTGATCCTGTACTATTCTGAGGCCATTTAGGGATACAGAGAATTGTTTTCCTCCATGGAGGACAGACTCATACCTCTTTTCATCCCTCAGCCTGTAAGTAGTTTCCTTCTTGTGTATCTGTTGCAGTTGCAAACTCTCTTTATCCTGCAGGATAACTTTTAACAGATGAAATTTTGACATGTCACAGTAAGACAAGCACAAGTGGAAATGATTTTAAAAAATGAAAACTGCATTCCAGCTGTTTTGGTTTCAGTGACGTGGTATAGACCTTTTTCAACCATGTGTCCCCTTTTAACTCACTGCAGCTTGAACTGTATCACACAGCCTCTGTTACAGGTGTCTCACTTCAGTCTCTTATTTCTGTTTTTCCAGACGATGTCTACCGCAGAAAACAATCAGAACGGGAGTACCAGCAGAAGATAGCAGATGGTTTGGTAGTTCGTAATGAGCCTGCAGCAAAGTGAACGATGCTCTGTTTCAATGTGGACTTCACATGTGTCGTCTGGGGACACATTCTTGGACATTCGCTCCCTTATTTGTTTTCCAAAGGCTGGAATGGACTTCATAGCATGTTACTGGGTTACACAACCATACCGCAGTTATGAAGGAGTCGAGGCTGATGGAAAAACATGCAAGTTTTATTGTTAATATGATCTCAAGGTTAGAAAACAGTAGCAGTAATAAAACCACTGGTGTGAGATCAAATGTAACGATGTAATCTCAACAATGGCCTTATATTGATTTGACAACAAGTTAATGTTGATGTGTTACAATAAAAACATTTCAGAGCACCTGCCAAGACAAAACCGTCTCAACCAAAGTGTAACAAAAGAAAAAAAATACAGGAATACTCTTTATATTTAATACTTTTTTTTAATACTGGCAGATACGATGCATTCCATTTGCACTGGAAAGTCGGAATTTCTGAGTTCCTAGTTAGGCAACTTCAACTGAAACTCCCTTTAAAGTCGGATTTCCTACTCGAAAAGTCAGAGCAACTCACCAACCTTCATCTTAAAATCCAATATGGCTTCTCCGTGCATCAACAGTAGTAAAAGTTGTAGTAATATAAAGTTAATTAACCCTTCTGTTTTATTTGTGACTCATTAAAACAGATGACATACAGTCCTGTCCAACTTGTATCCGTGGACATGTTACTACAGTGTAAAGTGCATAAATTGTCATCAACTGGTATTGCTAACAATGTCTAACCTGGCTTGAACTAGTATCGCTAAGCTAACAACATCTTGGTCTCCCGACTTGTTGTAGCTACTGGAACGCAACCAACTCAAGTGTGACGTCATTCCGAGCTCTGACTTCCGACTTCCGAGGTAAATGGAATGCAGCAATAGCATTTGATAATAAATGAAACACCACCAGCTCCTTCTTTCACTTCTACTTGCTGTTCTGTAATTATACAATTTCTGTTAAAGAGGTCTTGAACTGTACGGTAGATTTGAGTATATAAAATGTAATTTGTGAACTGCATTTTGCAAATGGTATTTTCACTGTCTGTCTATCCGCATTTTTTAATTGTACCATCCGATAGGGAGAGTCTCCAGACAGATGAAGCTGTTAGGGTGCATGGACAGCTGGATGGGGTTCCCGTCCAGTCTCACCTCGTTCATGTTGGTACGGATGTAGTAACTGGTGTTACCTTTGCAGAACGTCTCGTCCGTTATCGTTGAGATCTTGTTGTTCTGCAGAACGGACACAAAGAGATCAATCCAGTGACACACCGTTTGCCCAGCATCTAACTACTGGCTTTGCAGACCGAAAAAAAAAGAATAGCTTCTCTGATAACTTGCAGTGAATTACAATTGAACATACATGGAGGTGCACAACGTGAAGAGACTCAGGAAGTTGGGGCACCGCTGTCAGTTCGTTGTTTCCAAGGTAAAGATATGCCAGTTTTGTGAGTTTCTGCAACAATAAAAGACCCACATTTTAAATTTGGTTGCTTTCTGTATCAAACATCTAAACACATAAGAAGTACATAATGTCTGCAACATTTTAACACATTTAAAGATCCAGTGTGTAGGACTTAGGGGGATATACAGTAGCCCAGAACAGACAAATCAAACAAAAAGCACCATTTGCATTTTTGCGTCAGCCACCGTAATTATCCTACATGCTTGGCACACTGCAGCCTCACTGTTAGACATCACTTAATCCTACACACTGGACCTTTAAGATCAGTGGGCTCTCTTACTTTAAAGGCAGTTGCCTTCACACCCTGGGTTTTCAGCTGGTTGAAATTGGCGTTGAATGATACCAGCTTGGTGGGCAGCATGGGAAGTTTAGTTAGTCTGTTTTCTGCAAGATTGAGCTCCTCAAGATTGAGAAGTTTTGAAAACGCTCCGTCTTCTATCTCAGCGATGAGATTCCCACTGAGGTCAATTCTTTTTAACGTGGCTGTGGAGAAAAACAACAGACTATGGGAGGGAGAGAGCTTGAAAGATGACATTCACTGAAGAGTTAACTATCACAGTGACTTGTATTTACCCATGTCTGCAAAATCTTTGTTTTTTATTTTTGTGATTTTGTTGAAACGTGCATAGAGATATGCTGTTTCCTTTGGCAGTGATGGGACGGTTGACAATTCAGGGGACACCTCCTCACAGTAAACAGATCCACTCAGGCAAACACACAGCAGACATGTCGGCATCTCTGAAAAAAACACGATGTTTTTTCCATCATTTTTGTTATTTGTCTTATGAACAAGGCGAATAATTGGTCTCAGCGATGCAACTGTGCAGCTTAAAAAGCACTACACACGGTTTAGATGAGGACACTCGATCGGCCCCGTTATTACATAATACGGGCTTTAGCTACATTCACAAAAATGTGAAAGAATGCCTCAGTTAGTGTTGCATAATCGGCTTTGAAACAGTTGTTGAAAAGTATTTATCTGTTTAGACAAACCTTACCATCAGCTCTTGGAGCTGGTGGGTCAGCGTCCACCTCTTGAAGGGTATAGTCTGGAAAGGCTACAACGTCTTTCTGCAAAAAGGAGACATCTTCAAAATAGCTATACTTGTCCTCCTAACTCATGACTATTAACGTGCATTTCTTCCACCCACTCACTGACCAAAAAATATTTTTTTACCTTAGGTTTTCTGACTTCCATGTATCCATCCCTTGCTGCAGAAGACAGCATCCATGGGAGCATTACGGATGTAAAAATTAAAGTCCTTAATTGCATCATTGTGTCCGAGTTGCTGGTGAGAGAAGAGAGTGTCTGTCTGCTAGACTGGGATCTGAGGTACATGTGAGCAGGAAAATTTTCCGTCCAGCTTTTTCATTAAGCTGCCAGTGTACTGCTGAGAAAGAAAAGGAAAACAAACTTTAACTCAATACATGCTGTGTTTGTGTCGCTCTCTGTGGTCAGGGTGATTATAAAGACTAGATATTCTAATTTTTGTGCAGCAAACAGGAAAAGAGTTAGTTAATATTGAGCACAAAGCAATGACAAAAATATCTGTGGTCCAATCATTAAGTAACCCTAATGAACGCCGCTTTTGTATTTTACTTTCACTTACAAAAGAATGTTGTTACTGGAAAAACAGAGTGGTCCGGAGTGCCAGTAATTGATGGGAAAAAAATGAAGACCTGAATTGCCAAGTCAAGCACTGAACTGGAGAGAGAAAACTATTTTGAATATGTCCCTTTTTCAACTTAATACCTCAGTTCAACTAACAACTCAAAAACAGCAGTTAATACTCAGTCTCTTTGGGAGAGGGCTGTTCCCCCTTTTAAAAGTGAATCTATTACTGAAGAAACATCCATTTTGTGAAGCTGTAACCCTTACTTGTGTTATAATGAACATTTTAACATTCAAGTAGAAACCCAGTTTTCCATCATGCGATATATCTGTTTCTTAAATCATAATTGAATCCAGGTACCATTTTTTTCTCCCAACAGGCGTGGCTTAAAAACATTGTATGTGAAGTGTCCAACTTCACACCCCTGGAAAAAATGAATTCTTCTTCTCTGCAGAGAGATAATACAACCACTCTGCATACAGTGAATGGTCACTCATCACCATGCACTCTGAAAATTTAGAAAATAGTCAATTAGTGCAGAAGTACTTAGTTGATTAACAGCATAGCTGATTGGCAGGAAATTAATTGACGACAACTTTAATTAACACACTAAGTCTTTTATTGTAAAAATATCTCTGGTTCCAGCTTCTTAAATTAGAGATGTTGCTGTTTTTCCTTGTTATATTTATTGTGAATTTAATATCTTTGGGTTTTGGACTGTTGTTCAAATAAGACAAGCATTTAATGTCTCCTCTTAATCAAAGGGGAACCTGCTTTGACACTATATGGCACCCATCTTTTACAGATTTTATACAGCACCTTTGTGTCATAGTGCTATATAACATCATTAGAGGTGCTATGTAGCACTATATTGTTTTAAAATTTGCTAACCCTGTCTCCTCATATGAGTTTACTTGACCTTATACTTCACTCTACTTAAATTAGACCTGTTGTCCTCACTCATGGACACTTTTTTTGTCCCGGAGCGCTGAGAAGACGATCAAACGTGACTATCTAGAGCAAGTAAAAGTGGTAACAAGGTTTCTGTCGGTGAACACGCAGAAGGATCATTTGCACAATACACTAATTCATGAGAAAACAAGATGGCAGCCATCTCTGCCCAGTCAGTCTGCAGCTGATCCTGATACAAAAGTGGAGAAGGTCCAAAACCTGATCACATTTTATGGTTGAAACTTGTTTATTTATGATTAATAATGTCTGTAGTTTGATATGGAATACAAATGTGACTAATTTTAGTAACAGTGACCAGCTAAGACACTGTTAATTAGGAAGTACTTGTTTGAAGACATTGGGACTTAATTATCATTGACAATGATTAGTTTTTATACTTATTGGGTCCTAATGATCCCAAATAGCTAGGAGATATTAAAAATGCATAAACAAAAGCTGGGGTCTCCAGAGGATTTGTTTTTAAAATGCATTTTTACTCAGAATGAAAAGATTATAAATCATTTCTTACAAAATGGCAGCTTAAAATATTCATAACAACATACTAAATGTGTACTGAGAAACACAATATGTTACCTTTTCAAACCTGGAGTATTTCCATGCACGTGCAAAAATGCTGCTTTAATGTGTTATCCTCTAGAAATACACAGTTTGTAAGCTTTTTAAATGTAGTGTTTTTATTTTTTCTCCCGTAGTAAGCTAAACTAAACCAGTAGATAGCCTCTAAAGAACATTAAAGGGGATTAAAATGTTCTCTACTTGTTCAGCTTTGTTTAGTTCACTGGGGAAAGAACCAGTCAAGAACCTCTAAAGAACCGTACAGAGGCCTAAGAATGTTGTTGTGTGGCAGCAGTGCTAGATGCAGGCAAAGATCAGACAGGAAAATGTTTTAATTAAGTGCTATTTTGCTATCTCTTGTGTTTCAGGAATATTTATCAGGTCCAGGCCCCTGCACTGATAAATATCTGAACTGCTTTAGTGTCCTTGAGCAAAACACAGAAGCCCTGCTGGCTGCAGAGGTCAAACTTTGTGACTGACCTTTACCTATGACCTTGCTGTGCAGGATAGAGAGATAGGGAGCTTTCGTTTTCCTTGTGTTCATACAATCACACCCAGTAAGAGTCTGCCAATTCCCTGAGCACAATTGTTTATACAGTGATGTAACATGTTTGAATGCTGCAGACAGCTCTAATGTGAAAGCACAAATGGGTTGTCCACCACTGGTGTGCCCAGTCTGGGTCGATGTTAATTTTGTCTGAGTAATATAATAGGAGGAGGTTGCCAGGCAGCAGCGTTAATATGAATTATTTGCTTGAGTCAAATTTGAATTAATAAAAATGCTCGTGTCACCATATCAATGCGAGGAAACCACCGATCGTGACAGCGATGCTACTAAAGCCCGTTAGATTATGAAGAGGTGACGTAAGCGCACATGATAAGTGTGTTTTTTTAGATCTCTGTTTAAATTTTGGCCGTATTAATTATCTTATTTCGCTTGTGTGAGCAGTGGTTGCATTACATAAGGCAGATGTGTGGTGAGAAAAGAGGAAACAGAAGTGGCAGTGTAGCGGAAGTGGTACTGCCCTGAACGATACGCTGAGCGAGACGGAGGACGGAGGCTGAATTGTCCAGAGAGAGAAAAAAAGCAGGACTAAAAGTCGCCAATATTGTAAGTGTAAAAACAGCGCACGTATGTATAGCGCTTTGAAATGCTGTATTTTCATTCGTAGCTCAATGGTAGAATGGCTGTTTCATCGTGTCCCGTTGAATCCCGTTGAGAAGCCATCATGATGGCAAGCTAGCTGGGTTTGTGAAAGGCTAGCAGGTTTGCTCGCTGGCTAGCAGCTAATGCTAACCATCGAGCTAACCGACGGTCGGATTCCGTGACACTTTGTTCTGACAGGCTCGTCAGCCTGGGCGGGCCGTGATACAGCTGTTGAAAATGAATTAAACGCGAAAGTAATGCATTACAGTACCAGATTTTGTTAACTGTCGATTATAAAAAATGGCAGATGTGGATTGCCAACACCCCGATCGTGTTTTTTTAAACGAAAGCCAATCGTTGCTTTTGCTGGCCTAGCTAACCAACGTTACCGTTAAATAACGGTACCGCTACATTTGACGACGGCAGCTAGCTAACTGTTAGCCACTCCACTCGCTGTGCGTGATCACGAATACGACAGATTAGCTACAGTAACGTTATCTAATCCAGTTAGATCGCCAACGTAAATAGGAACAAAACAAACGATGAATCAGATCGGTCGCATTTAACAAGCTCACGTTGACATCAGTTAGCGGAATGTATCGCCCCGCTAGCGTTGCTAGCAACATAAGGGGAGGGCATTAAAACCTGACCCGGGAAGGCTTCGGCTGGTGTAGCAAGTGTCGATTGAAACACCCTGAAAGGAGCCTATAAACCCGTTATGTGTATTAAATTTTACATTATTGTAGTTTCTAAGACTGCTAATGACGTCGATTCAGTCGTATTCTGCCAAAATTGGGTTGAGAACGATAAAGAAGAGAAAGGACAGGCGAGCGTTATCTACTAAAGCTAGCTTGCAGCTAACGGTTAACCTTAGCTAGTGATGTGTATGGTTGACCCACTTGCCAAGGGGCCCAGCTCGCAATGCTTATCCTCACTTTCCATTGAAGACAATGGTTTCCTTGCCTAAAATACAAGTTTTTCCATAGCAAAATAAAATCAGTCCAAAATACAGAATTAAAGACACCAGAAATGTCTCATGAATGGACAATGTGAGGGCTTTTGTTAAACATCCTTTGTTGTTATTTTAAAATTACTTACACATAACAACTTCTAATACTGTGTTTTATTTTCACCCAGTCTAGAAAATGGATAAGAACGACCTGGTACAGAAGGCCAAGCTTGCTGAGCAGGCTGAGCGCTACGATGACATGGCTGCAGCCATGAAGTCGGTGACAGAGCAAGGTACAGAGCTGTCAAATGAGGAGCGCAACCTTCTCTCTGTTGCCTACAAGAATGTGGTAGGAGCTCGCCGCTCATCCTGGCGTGTCATCTCCAGCATTGAGCAGAAGACTGAGGGCAACGACAAAAAACAGCAGATGGCACGTGAATACCGGGAGAAGATTGAAACTGAGCTGCAGGAAATCTGCAATGATGTGCTCGTAAGGGTTTCTCATTTCATTGGCATTCTAAATAAAGTCATATTTCATACACTGGTGAAGAAGGTGCTTGTGTATAAATTGGCCTGATTATAACAAAACTGATCTATTACACTTATTTTTCAGGGGCTACTGGACAACTTTCTCATTAGCAATGCATCTGCTGCTGAGAGCAAGGTGTTCTATCTGAAAATGAAAGGCGACTATTATAGATACCTGTCTGAGGTTGCATCTGGGGATAGTAAGAAGGGTAAGAGAGGACATGATTAACATTTTAAATTTGTGTTGTAACAATGTGCTTAAAGCATCATTAACAAATATGTTATAACAACTATTGGTTTGAAGAACTGTGTGAAAGGGGCCACTGGTAGAGATGGGTCCACAGAGCATTATCACCAAGCACTGTGTAATGTCTTCCATCTATTTTATTTTTAAGGCCTTTATATTTATTTTGATTAATTTTCTAAGCTCACACCATCAACTTTGTTTCCTGAAAGAGAATACTGCATTTTTTTAGGCAGACACAAATATTTCTGCATGTCTGCTCAATATGTAACAGGCAGCTGTTTGCAGACACTTTTGCTGTTTGAATTTAAGGAAGCAATACAGTTTGCCATTGTCGTTTCCATTCACTGCCCCCAGGTGGCCAAAAAAAAACTAACACTGCTTTAAAATGTGTCGAAAATCGTGAGAGTTCATTTCTTCATCTTTTTCTGCCTACAGACACAGTGGAAAACTCCCAGCAGGCGTACCAGCAAGCTTTTGACATTAGCAAGGGGGAGATGCAGCCAACACACCCTATCCGGCTGGGCCTGGCCCTCAACTTCTCAGTCTTCTACTATGAAATCCTCAACAACCCGGACAAGGCCTGCAGCCTGGCTAAGGCGGTATGAAGCCTTATGTTATAGTTTTTAAACATTTTACATGTCAGCTGTAGATTTTTAAGATTTCAAGTCAACAAACATAAAAAAGCCAGAAGCCTTGGGTACATGTAATTAGAGGGTGAGGGAATTTTGAGCTGTTTATTTTTGTTGCAGACTAGCTCAAAGAATTTTTCAGTTTTGGACAGTCACAGCCAATCAGTAGTTAGAGGATGCTGCTGGATTATTCAGGCTTTAATAACGAGTGTAATCTTTGTATTTCAGGCATTTGATGACGCCATTGCTGAACTTGACACTTTGAACGAGGATTCTTACAAAGACAGCACCCTGATCATGCAACTACTAAGGGACAACCTGACTGTGAGTTTTAAGCCCCATGCTGTTTTGCCTCTGATTGATCATAACGTGTCACTCACAATGAAATAATAACACTTTTCTTTCTCTGTTCCCAGCTGTGGACATCAGAAAACCAGGCAGATGAGGGAGAGGCCGGAGACGGGGAAAACTAATGGAATTGCACTGTTAATCCACCTACACTCTTATCTTAAACACAGACAGCTTATATACATCCCCCTCCACTCCATCAGCTCCTCCCACTTCTGTATGACAAGCAGCCTGAATTGCTCCTGACCAACTAGTTTACCCCTCTCAGTTCACTGTGAGGTGACAGGGTAATTTTCAGTTAGCAGATTCAGTCACTTTGTGGAAACATGTATTGATTAGTGAGTCCATGTTGCTGTTGTTTTTGTCGGCTTTGTGTGTATGTCTGTATGTAGTGAGAGAGCAAGTGTGAAAGGATGTGAAAGATTGTGTATGTGTGTTTGATTGTGTGTGTGTGTGAGTGAGTGTGTGGTCTGGGGGGGAGGGGGGTGTTGTGAATTCTAATCGTCCTTCCAAATCCCTTTGTCCCAGCTAGTTTGTTGTGCATTTTTCATCCCTTTTTTTGTTACTTTCTTATTTGTGATTCCTCATGATATTTACAGGTTTTATTGTATGGTAATGAAACTGGCAGTTGATTTCCACCAAACACTGTGATGGTAGGCGTTCCATTTGCTTCACAACCCCCAAAACAGTTTTTGTGTTCAAAATTTTCCAGACACATGTACAATCCTGTATTAACAACTAAATGCAATTCTGCTGTGGGCTCATACAGAAAGGAGGCAGGCTGTATTGTGACACTGACATCTTGGTGTAATGCTCCTTGATCTTGTTCACAAATTCACAGTTTCAAAAGTTTTAAGGGACCCCTTAAATTGTCATGTTAGATTTGTTCAGACATTCCACATTATTAGGCTTTTGGAAAGGCAGTGCATCTTCTTTTATTTTATTTTTTAAACTAAGTATGGATTATCATTGTAGTTTTACTCACTGTTAAGGTGCTGCTTGATCTCAGTACAATGGAAATTGTATGTGCGTAAATGTGGTTCCATGTATTTTGCAAGATTGACTATCATCTGTATGTAAAACCTAAAGTAACCTTTTATTGATGTTAATTGAAAATGTCTTACCACACTGTATCAACCCTGCTTGCAAAATATTCCTCTTAAAGCGGTTGTTTTTCCCCCAAAAAATCTGTGCCTGGCTTTCTCTTGCAGCCTCCGTGGCTGCATCTGCTTGTTGTTTTTAGAAATCTCAAAGGGAACGAGTTAGATGGGACAAAAAATGCAAAATCTTGACATCAGTTTATATCCAGGTGCATCTCTGCTGTTAAAGATAGCTGGTGTGAATGATCACCTCAAGAAAAAAAGAAATCAGGTCTATTTTGAAGGTGCAATTTGAAGAAGCCCAATCCATCACTTTGGAAAGAAGCTCAGTGTCACAATACCATTTATCACCACTACATTCCACATATTGTAGTTGAAGACACCATTCCACATTATAGCTGACAGTCTGTTTACTCTGACAATGCTCCGATGAATTGAAATAATCTTCTGTTGAAAAAAAAAACATCATGTCAGTTTATTATTATGCTTGATGAAAATGCAGTTAGTGAATGTGGAACGAAGCCTGTCTGTATATCAGGTATCTACTTGCTTTGTTTTTACTGACAAGTCTTATGGCTAAAAATTTGCTTCTGTAACAGTCTATTACCCAGTGCACACACGTGGTTGTGAAAATTTAGAATAGCTCTAAAAAGCAATGACGAAATGGAGATAAACAATGGTTGGTGTAATTCTAGCTTTGTGTTTATGTATCTTAAAACCATTCTAGTTTCACTATACATGTAAGAAATAGGAAAGTGTCAAAGACCATTCAGTGAAATAAAGTTTCGTTTAAGATAACAGGCAAATTACGTCTTCATTTTTGTTCACGGGAAACATTAACATGATTTAGTCATTTATTAAGATAGTTCAGAGGTTGTGTGTAGGCTGTGGCTTCAGACAAGGCCTAGCAAGCGTCCACAAGAGGGCGAAATCAATAACATACTGTTAAACATAACATACATAGAAATATAACCTATAACATTACATTTAACCTTTGGTTTGCGAGAACTAGTTCTTATCGCGGAGTGTCACGTCAGTTAACCTCTGCCCTCTCCCAGCTTAATTGGAACGACGGCAGGCGGAGGAAGAGAGCTGCAGGTGTTCCACGGTCATAATTAAACGAAAACAAGCTCGCGCCCATGTGGAGAGAGGTGAACGCTGCACTTCAAATCACACATCAGTGTTCCGACATTTTGACTATTTAAAAGCCGTAAGTAACGTTATTTATTTAATTAATTAAGTTCTTTCACTTCGTTTAATTTACAGTTGGAGGCACCACCTGCCATCGCTATCAGCTAATTTTGATGTGGAGTGCTCGAGTTAGCGGTTCAAATTTAGCCAACTTTAATTTTAGCTAATGTTAGCTTCTTAGTGTCCTTGGTAACAATTCAATCAATATTTTTAAAATTTTTAAACTCACTTCACTGTTGACCTAGCTTGTTATGTTTATTAAAACTCTATTATAATTAAAAATGAGGTGATAAAACTTCGGTAAATGTTAATATGTGTCACCCCAGCGTCAAGCTAGTTGAATTACACCCTTTTGTCTTGGCATGATTATCAACATACATTATTTTTACATCAATATTCTCCATAACAACACATGCACTCAGTTGCCAGTTTGGTAGGTACATCTAGCTTGTTAAAATCAATAAAGTACTAGTGAAATACTACTTTAATTAAGGTTATAAAATCTAGGATTTTGTTGCAACAGTTTTTGAGGTATTTATTTTGGGGAGGTTTTACTTTCCTGGTGTGATTGAACTATTTTGCATTATACAGAGAGGTGTTTATAATATTTGGTCTTGCTTACCCTCATTGATATTTCGGGAGTGACTTAATAAACAAATCAAATAGTACATCAAGTACAAATCAAAGAATCAGAAGCCACATTTTATTGTGTCTATACTGTCACAACCAGCCAAAAGTATATTATAATTAATTTTAGGAACTAACTATTTTTTATATGAGTATTTTTTTCTTCTTCTGGTGTTATTAATAATTATTGTATTACTGTGGCCTCATAAATAATTATGGAGCTGAACCAACACTTTGGTCAATGAAAACAGAATATGATAACCTTCAGAAAGGTAGAAATTGTTGCAAAGCTGTTAAATAGGTTTGCATGGGATGTGACTTGGTATAATAAACTGGCAACACAGTCAACATTTTGCCTTATTTCTTGCTGTTTAAGATAATTGAGTTGGAACTTCCAAAAAAAGTGCAATAAATTATACTTCTTTTTTCTTGAACTAGCTGTCACCCAAGATGAACACCAGCGGTCCAACGTATCCCCTCGCCTCTCTGTATGTAGGCGACCTGCATCCAGATGTTACAGAGGCCATGCTCTACCAGAAGTTTTCTCCTGCAGGACCCATCATGTCAATCCGTGTGTGTCGTGACATCATCACCCGAAGATCTCTGGGATATGCCTACATAAACTTCCAGCAACCAGCTGATGGTAAACTACCGTTTTTGACCAGTCCACCCAAATTAAAACTTTAAAACTGTTATTTTTATCACTAGAAGATGCACTTACATGTTTAAGTGAAGTTAACAGGGACCAAAGCTTTTCCCATAGTAACAAAACTATACATTACAATAGCCACTGTGCAACATACTGTTACCTATTATGGATCTACAGTAATCTCAGGGTTGATTTGAAGCCACACTGGAATTCACCTGATATCCTCAAGTATTTCTGAATTTATCCTATGAGAAGTTTATTTAATTAACACTTTTAATCAAGCAAACAAATGAAATGAATGTGAAATACATTCTTAATCAATGTCGTTCAACCAACCTGAGTATTTTATCTTGGTCAAAGGAAGTTTAATTTCCCACAGACAGAGCCATGACTTAGTCTTGCATGATGAGTGATGATGCTTTATGATATGCTTATTATGATTAATATATATATGTATATATATATATGTGTGTGTATTTTTTTTTTTTTTTTTTTTTCAGCGGAGTGCGCCCTGGACACAATGAACTACGATGTTATCAAGGGCAGGCCTATCAGAATAATGTGGTCTCAGCGTGACCCGGGACTCAGGAAGTCTGGTGTGGGAAACATCTTCATCAAGAACATGGATGAGTCTATTGACAACAAGGCGCTGTATGATACCTTCTCTGCCTTTGGCAATATTTTGTCCTGCAAGGTAAGTGGCGTGGATCATCCTACAAATATAAGCAAAATTATGTGAATTAAACAATGATCTGTGCAATGAACCCTTTACAAAAACATTATATTCATATCACTCTGGATAGATCAGTAGATAATGTATACAACTGAGTATTGCCCAGAACAAGAGTACATATTTTAAATCTCAAATGCAAAGTGCTTTTTTTGCAGCAAACTCTTTGTAATTTGCATGATTTAAAGCCTTTGCTTTTGTAGGTTGTTTGTGACGAGAAAGGATCCAAAGGCTATGGATTTGTTCACTTTGAGACTCACGAGGCTGCAAACCGGGCCATCACCACCATGAATGGGATGCTGCTGAATGATAGGAAAGTGTGAGTAAACTAAATACAATCTAAAAAGGTGGCAAAAGTGCAATCTAAAAGAGTAACTAAACCCCAGACCACTTTTTTCCAGTTGAAAACCAATATATATGTTTATTTAGTAGTGTTAATTGATTCAGAGCCAAAGCTTGAAATTTTAGTGCGATGTATTTAAATTTTACATGTTGTCATTAATATGGATAGTGAACTGCCCTCTACAGGTTGAAACCTGGCTATTGCAATCAAATTTTGCCATTGGCTGATCTGGTGCTGAGTGATGTATTTGGACGCAGCTTTCGTGATTAACCAAATTGCGAAGAATCGGACCAAGCTAATGATGTGTGGAGCATGTTGACAGAAGTTTCAACATTTATATTTGTATGCACAATCAAAGCAGCTAACTAACGTTAGCCCAAGAGGGTAGCAGTTGACTTGGCTACCCGCAACTCTCTAGCTGTTTGCTGTCTATCTCTCCTTCACTCCACTGAGCTCCCGTGTGCTGAGCCCCGTCCGTGGCAAAACACCATAAACAGAAACACAGTATAAAACGGTTTAAATTATTTCCCGAAGTTACTAAGCACTTGTTTCAGTTCAGCTCAGTGTGAGTCTGTCTTGCGCTTTCTGTGGCGTTTCACAGCGGTCTATAACTCTCACCAAGTAAATGCAAGAAAAGCCCGTCATCATTAATGTATCCTAATCCACACAAAAGATGTACAGACAACTAAAAGAAACACTCAGTGGAATACAATTCATTCAGGTGGGCCAGCTCAGGCGAGGCTGCACTGAAGCAGCACTGGACAATAGTCTCTTAAAGGGACGGAGAAATCCCCTCGAGACAGCCGCAAGGCCAAAAGATTACAGAGAGGGTCTGTTACTTTATACTTTGTCCAAAAAAAACTAAAAACACTAAGGAACGACTTGGATAAAGGGAAATGTTCTCTAAGTATTGCAGAGGGGGAGTTGCTGTGGATTGGGAAGTGGCGTGATGGTGTGACTGGGCGTCTCTTAAGGCCCCCTCCCAGCCACACTCATTTTCATGTTGCAGGGAGGAGACACTTTGGCCAAAAGTCAGGGGTTTAGTTACTCTTTAAAACAGTAGGTTGAGGCAAAGAGTAGTGTAGAATATATAAGCATGTTAACTATGTAAACTGTAAATTCATGCTGGATGACTTTTCCATGTGTTTTTTTTTTTTTTTGCTCAGTGGAAAGACAGGTAAACAATTGGAATCTGGCATTGTCAACCCAATGGCCCATTTGCTGGGGAGAACATTTCAGTTGTCCCTGCTTAGGTCAGTGAATAAGTAGGATCTATGTTGAGGTTTGTTGTCTGTGTGTGTATTGTGATTTTTAGGACTAAACAGGCAAAGCAGGATCATCATAAAGTGATCATGTCAATACAGTGTAGGTTTGTCTTTCATGATGGAAGGAGGACGATTCATATGTGTTCTTATATGTGATCTGCTGTGTGAACAGTTTTTACATAGATAATAAATAAACCATGCTGCAGTTAAACATTACAGTTACAGCTGGAAATGACAATGGAAATCAACAAGTTTGCCGATTTCACACATCTCCACAACTGTAATCAGTTGCCAGTTTTCTACCCGACAGTGATTGTTGCTGTTAGCACGACATCACAGTAATTTAACCTATTTGTAACTTAGCTATGCTGCATGGATCTGCCGTTAGTTGCTTCATAGCTGATAAAGTAATTTGCAAACAAGCCCCGGGTCTGGATGAATTAGCTGACAGTACCCACTCAGTACAGTGTTTTGCTAGTGAGCAATTTGTCTGTGTTGGAAAGCAAGCCAACATTAGCTAACATTAGACAGCTAAAATTCCAATATCACAATATATTTCACTTGAAGAATTTAGTGTTTATTAGACCACAAATGAGACAAGAATTAGCTACTAGCACTACCAGCTGCACTTCGGCTTCCCTCACAGCAGGTGAGAGATTCACTTTACTTTACTCTGGAGATGGTTCCTCGGACAATGGCTGTAACGGCTCTAATTCAGGCAGCGCAAACCTCAGCTGTAAGTCAAGGGCCATCTCCAGGCTGCGGCTGCTAAATGTATACAATGGAAACACAACACGTGTTGACTCTGTGTTGTGGGGTAGGTGCTGGTCGTTTGTTGACGTTACCAGACTCCTTTTCTAAGCTAAAGTTAGCTACTGTTGCACACTGTTGGGAGAAGTTTGCCTGATGGGCTTTCTGCCAGAGAAGGATTTCTTTCATGTTCATCACGTCGTTTCGATTTTCATGGAAAATTCAGCCCGAGCCTTTTAGATAGACGTCAGTCCACAGGCTGTTAAAGGCAACGGAGGAAGTAGGGGAAGTTCTTATTTTTTTAACTTATGTTACAGTCAGTTCACCCATTGGCAATGAAAATGGTTAATGCATTTTAAAAGTTACAAACAGTACCTTTAAACAAATACATTCTTTGTGTCTTAAAGTTGTCTAAAAGTTAGGTCTGTTAATGTTGTGTCCTTCATGTTTGTCCTCATTAACTGTCTTGTGGTGTTTTTGATGCTGTGTGCTGAAGCTTTCACACTGTGAACAATCGAGTTTTCAACTATCTAACTTTCTGTGCTTCCTTTATGTCCCTGGTGATGGGTTTGATCCTGTCTGCAGTTTCGTTGGCCACTTTAAGTCCCGCAAGGAAAGAGAGGTGGAGTTTGGCACCAAAGCTCTGAAGTTCACCAACGTTTACGTCAAAAACTTCGGTGAAGACTACACTGATGAGAAACTGAAGGAACTCTTTTCTGCATTTGGTAAGAAAGCATAATTTTTAATTCTTGTGTTGCTCTCCTACTCAGTTTGGGGCCTTTCTGTAATAAATTTATTGCCACGGTTGATCTTAAATCTGTATAACTACCACTTTGTATATCAGATAGTTACAGACCAGTTTGTGCTCAAACTCTCAGGGAGGACTCTCAGTGTGCGGGTGATGAAGGATGAGAGGGGCCGTTCACGGGGATTTGGCTTTGTAAACTACGCTAACCATGAGGATGCTCAGAAGGTAGAGTGTGCCAAGTTTTCCTGTCCACCCAGATGGGATACCTGCCAACAGTAGCAGTGCATTAAGGTGACACCAAAACCTGCAAAAATAAATATATTATGAGTTTGTCACACCACAGAAAAATGTTATTTTTTAGGATTACAAACATCTACAAACACCTGTAGGAAATATCTGGTGATAGGTCAACCAGTAGTATTAATGTCGGTGCTTGCACATAAACACTGACTGTGCTAGGGACAAAAACAGTCCAGTGAAAGAAAGAAGGAATAAAGGTAAGTAAAACAAATATTAAAAAAAAACGCAGGACAAAACCAAACCGTAGGTTATGACCACACAGAGATGTCAAATACAGAGGTAATGATGATGAGACGAGGTGCATAAAAGTAAGAAAAAAAACTTTGAAAATATACCTCAGACTTTGAATCCTCGAGTCTCTCCCAGTCCTACACCCTCATCTAACCCTCTGACGTTGGAGACGTACCTGCCCCATTTCAAATGGGAACACCTCACTCTGTTCATAAGTCTTTATGACAGGTCCTCCAGCAAGGCTAATCTACCTAAATGATTATGCCAGATTTACAGGGGCGAGGGCGGCAGAGACGGCCTTCCTCGCAGAAATAATGACTTTACACCCCAGCATCAGTGCAGTCTGCACCCATTCTGCATCAGGGGATGGGACATCTGCGAGGAGCGACGGGTCCCCAAAGATAAACAGACAGCGGGAGAAAGGCACATCAGGCCCTGTGAGCTGTGTAGCATGTCTGAATCTCAAATTTAAACTCCTGCATTTTACTGCAGCGCCACAACATACAAATCAACATACCTTCTACCTTCTTACTCAAAAGCATTGCAATGACACGTACATTAATTTAATAAATCATAACAACCCTTTCCAGCCTTTTGCCTGAACTGGAGAATCAGTTTTCATCACTGGATTAGCTTGGCAAATGTTTGGGCATTACATCAATTTGAAAACTGAAAATAAAGGATTCACAGACTGTCACAACAGTCTAACAATACCTGAAGCAATTTCCTCACTTGTACATGGCGGTTAAAGTGAACAGAAAATATAAAATGGCCAAATATCCGTTAGGTGATCCATGGTGTAACTTTAGCGGCGATGAACAATGTTAAAGTGACTTCTCCTACCAGGAACATGCTCCACTGAAAATCCTAATATATTGTTCTTGGTTGAGGACAAAAGTGAACAGGATGGTGCTGTTTGCTGCCCTCTGGACACAGTGCTCCAGGGTGCTTTCACCTCAAGTGTCCACGCATAGCATTTGTACTTGTCATTTACAATTTGTAGACATGTTTTTTTAGCTGCAGCTTGTTCTACGGAGGATTCCATACTTTGCCTGGACGCAGCTTTCTCGCTAGGAGAGCTGCGGGCAGGAGGAGAGGCCCAAGCTCTCATAGTGTGGACACGAATATCAACTGGCGGGTCCTCCCCCGTTGCGATATATGCATTATCATAATTTACAAACAAAATGTAACTCCTCAATATCTAGAAAAATACAAATATTAAACAAAAAATCAAGTCCTTTCAAGTCATCTTTCCCAAGTCAAAGTCAAGTCTTTCATCAGTTTTAGTCAAGCTAGTCTCAAGTCCTCACGACTTTACTCATCCAGAGCCTCATTATACATCTGTAGAAGTAAAGGCTGCTCTGAGAGTGTTGCTAAATCACTCCTTCACTAGGAGTCTTAGACATTATTAGAGTAAGTTAGGAGCTCTGACTATTTTCAGAATATTTGTGAATATGTCTTCTTGTTTTTCAGGCAGTCAATGAAATGAATGGGAAGGAGATCAATGGGAAGATCATCTACGCCGGTCGGGCTCAGAAGCGGCTGGAGCGCCAGGGAGAGCTCAAGCGCAAGTTTGACCAGATCAAACAGGACCGCATCCAGCGCTATCAGGTGCTGCTGCATTGTATGCATATATGGATGTTGTCATTTTTACAACAGTGTTAATAGTGTTTCTTTTACCTATATTTGATACTGTCCCTATTCCCAGCTGAGTAAGTGTCAGATTCAGCTGTCCCCACCTCACATGCTGATATTTATCTGATAAATACATCTGGAATTAGTAACACACGTGCCTTGTGTTGATACATCTGTGAGTGCAGAGGGACACTGTTTACCTTACTTTAAGTGTTAGAGTAGGGTTAGACATAGGATATGCAAGGCAGCCAACATGCACACATGAACGTATAGTTAAAAGGAGGTATATCTCGAGCCTTAAGGTAATAAAATTCAACTATGAAAACCTCTTAAGGTGAGATGTAACAGGTTATATCTGGTTGTCTTGTCATCACTGTCAAGCTACCAGGCAATCAGTGGGAATTTACTGAGAGTAACTGCACCTGGCCAAGAAATATTCCGACACATAACCCTCTGTAAAACTGAGAATCATTTTTATGTTTTGAGGTTTGTTTTTAAACAAGCTGGTGCTGGTAGGTGGATTTTTTCACCTTCAGACTGAGGCTCACTGTTTCCCACTGTTTCCGGGGGTGAGGGTGATAACGATCTTCAAACCTAATAACCTTGGTAAGAAAGCCAGAAAGTGTATTTTACAAAATGTCAACCTTTTTTTCTTTTTAATCATTCAAAACAGAGATTTGTACTGTATGATTTCCAAATCAATTGATGTGTACTGTGCTGGTTTCAGCTGACTGACTTTCAACAAGCAGGACAACTTAGACATAGGATGATATGACATCACTGCAATGTAGGCATATTTTAAAAGTGGTGCAGAAAGAAATAATTCTTCTCCTTCTGATTCCAGGGCGTGAATCTGTATGTGAAGAACTTGGACGATAGCATAGATGATGAGAGACTCCGGAAGGAGTTTGCCCCCTACGGCACCATCACCAGTGCCAAGGTAATGAGATAAGACCTTGGGCCTTCTTCACTAAAATTTGCAGCTACACACGTTACAATCCTTGTATCTTTTTCTTGATGTATCCGAGGTAGGAATGAAACTACAGCACAGTAAAAGCCTGGAACTCACAGCCTTGTACAGTCCCTGACAAAAGTCTTGTCGCTTATCCTAGTTGTAGGAACAACAAATAATAACCTGACTTGTAGTTGATCAATTGGGATCAGAAATAGTTTATATGTAAGGCAAAGGCCTTTAGATTATGCTTATTATACCAAAATAAAGTTGTGTATCATTCATTGAGTTTTATCATTTAATTAGGACAGAAAGGTCAGATCTTGCTTGGACAAAAATCTTGTCGTGTCTTTAAACGATTCAACCAATCACAGATTAGAGCTCCACCTGTGACAAATACTGTAATTAACACATTCCCAGGTGTGTATAAAAAGAACCCCAGCAGACCAGACCTTCATGTGAAGTGCAACCTGACCGCTGACAACATGCCAAAGATTCAACCACAGACCAAAGTGCTGATCATCAAGAGCCTGAAGACCAAGTCTGCTGCTGAGGTGGCAGACATCTTCAGTGTATCCAAACGTCAAGTGGAGAGAATAAAAAAAAGATTTGAAGAAACTGGTGACGTTCATGACAAGCCCAGGTCAGGCAGACCCCGTAACACAACTGTTAGAGAGGACCGTTTGTTGCTTCGGCAGTCCAGGGCCAGCCCTTTTTCAACTGCAGCAGAGCTACATCAGAACTGGTCACCAGAAACCCCTGTATCTACCAGAACAGTTTGTCGAATTCTCTCACACAATGGTATCCATGGCCGAATTACTGCTCACAAACCAGCATTAAACAGAAGACAACAAAAGAATCGTGTTGCATTTGCCAAGGCCCACAGTGTGCAGAAAGGATGGACAGTGGAAAAGTGGCAGAAGGTTGATTTTTCTGATGAATCATCCATTGAACTGCATCCCAATCGCCACAAATACTGCAGAAGACCTGTTGGAACCCGCATGGACCCAAGATTCACCCAGAAAACAGTCAAGTTTGGTGGAGGAAAAATCATGGTTTGGGGTTACATCCAGTATGGGGGTGTGCGAGAGATCTGCAGAGTGGATGGCAACATCAACAGCCTGAAGTATCAAGAGGTTCTCGCTGCCCATTACATTCCAAACCACAAGAGAGGGCAAATTCTTCAGCAGGATGGTGCTCCTTCTCATACTTCAGCCTCCACATCAAAGTTCCTGAAAGTGAAGAAGGTCAAGGTGCTCCAGGATTGGCCAGCCCAATCACCAGACATGAACATTATTGAGCATGTCTGGGGAAAGATAAAGGAGGAGACTTGGAAGATGAAACCAAAGAATCTTGATGAACTCTGGGAGTCCTGCAAGACTGCTTTCTTTGCCACTTCATCAATAAGTTATTTGAGTCATTGCCGAGACGTATGGATGCAGTCCTCCAAGCTCATGGAAGTCATACACGATATTAATTCTTTTTCCCAAGGCACCATGACTTTATGTTCTGATGTTATGGGAGCATGTTTGTGTATTCAAAATAAAGTATCATTTCTACAGTACATTATTTTTGTATGCAACAAGACTTTTGTCCAAACAAGATCTGACCTTTCTGTCCTAATTAAATGATAAAACTCAGTGAATGATGCACAACTTTATTTTGGTATAATAAGCATAATCTAGAGGCCTTTGCCTTTCATATAAGCCATTTATGATTCCAATTGATCAACTACAAGTCAAGTTATTATTTGTTGTTCCTACAACTTGGATAAGCGACAAGACTTTTGTCAGGGACTGTAGATGTAAGCTGGACACACACTGTGCTGATTTAGTCCTTTTTCATGGCAACTGTGGTTAACTTGAATTTTGATTAATTTTAGTTCAAATGTACTTAAACAGTACAACATTTTCGCAGTGGAGGATAAAATCATCTTCTGAACAAAGTCCACATTCATTTGTTTGCTCAGTGTGTATGTTGTCTACACTGGACAAATAAAAACAGTATTGGACAAAAAAGGAACAGGAGCTCTAAAAGCAGGAATGACCACATAAGTGATTTCTGCATCAGGATCATTTTCACGGCTGCAGGAAGGAAAACAGGCGACATGCTAGAGAGGAGGCGTGACTATTGAGCTACTTGTGCTCAGACTAATTATTTTACAATAAAAGGCTAATTTCCCTGTCATTTCTTTAAGTTTTAGTGTTCATTAGGTTATGCAGATGTTGCGCCATCCTGATTTTGTTATCAATAATTCATGTCACAGTTTTGGCAGAGCTCCAAAAGGCAAAACTACATTCAGTTTTCAGTATCTATGGGTCAACAAGTCTCCTCAGGTTTTTGCCTTCAGGTCTCAAATCAAGCTGCGTCTTCAGGTATTAAAGTTTCATGTAAGTCGGGTCTCATAGCAGATGACCCAAAGTAGACTTGAAACTCCTCATTTTTGTGACTGCTGTCTCAGGTCTATGGTGCCATCGTTAAGTTTCTTATGCATGCCTTTGTTTCCTGCAGGTCATGACAGATGGCTCCCAAAGCAAGGGCTTTGGCTTTGTTTGCTTCTCTTCACCGGAGGAAGCGACAAAAGCAGTGACTGAAATGAACGGGAGAATTGTTGCGACCAAGCCGCTGTACGTGGCTCTGGCTCAGCGGAGGGAGGAACGTAAAGCAATCCTGACCAATAAATACATGCAGAGACTTGCTACCTTGAGGACCATGACGAGTCCGATCATTGACTCGTACCAGCAGGCTGGATACTACATGACTGTACCACAGGTAAGCATGTTCGAATAGTGAGAACAGAGAGGCAAGTGATATTAATAATTTGGGGGAAAAAAGTTTTTGATTACTTTTTAGTAAATGCCATACACTAAAAGAAAGAAAACACATTTTATCATTTGCAGCGTTTTGATTTGTACATAAACATAAATGCCTTTTAGTCTCACGAATGGAAGTCTGAATGTAAGACTTCTGCGTGGCCAACAAGTGGAGTCTATAAAAAGCAAATTTAACCAAACAAACAAAATTGTGGTAGCAAAACCAAACTCTCAAAAACCAACAAGTCATTATTATGTACAGTACTCTTTACCCCATAAAGGTGAGGGGAAAAATAGTCATTGTGCTCCTCTTTAATTTAGCTCATTGTTCAGGACGGCATTTTAACCATCAGGATGTTACAGGATGTGGTCTGTAAGAGACGTAAACATTCAGCAAGACTAGCCAATAGAGAATTTCACCATCAGAATTTCTAAATACCATCTTAGGCTACATACCACTGGCTGACAACATGCCCATTTGTTGAGATTTCACTTGTTCTTCTTGCACGTGGCTTAAATTTTTCTGTCATAGTTGCATTTGTTTGTGTGGGCAAAAACATTTTAACCTCACACATTTTCACACAAAAGTCAGATTTCACACTGGATTCATAAAATGCATTAAAAGGGTAAGCAGCTCTTCCTGCAGACAACAAATTGAACAGAATTTTAAATTACAGGAGAACTGGTGAGTGTGCCAAAAAACACTAGGTTATGGTGGCTGTAATTATTACTGGGGTTGTGGTGAAAAATTGCTTACATATGCTGGCTGGATTAAAAACCAGGGCAGGTAATATTAAAAGCCCCCCTCCTCCCCTGGAGAAATACATCCAGTCCGAATGGGGCTACAGACATATTTCACTGGACTTAAAAGTTAATGTGGGATCCTGCTTGAATGATGAGTGTCCATATCTGTTTAATTCTCATCAAAAACCAATAATTACAAAACCTCCAACTAATTGGGATTCACAGGTTGACCTGCAGTATGTTTTTTAATTAATGAATATGTATCATGCAGCCTCCCACTCGCTCCTTCTACAACCACAATGCTGTCAGCAACATGAGACCAGTGCCTCGCTGGACAGGACAACCACCAAGACTACAGGGTGAGGGGGTCGTATGTTTTAGATTTATATTATACACAGATACATGCATATATGTGATGTGTATTAATGTCTCCACTGTTTTTAGGTCCCTACTCAACCCAGTTTGTCGGTACCGCCGTTCCTCGACGTGGATCAGCCCCCATCGCTACAGTCAGACAGGCCTCCACCCAGGCTCCACGCGTCATAAGCTCCTCACAAAAGACAAGTAAGAACCAGAGTTATGATGACATGATAAACTCCATCTTTGTAGAATATGCTGTTTACGTGGATGATAGAATCTGACATGTGTAACATCTTTATTTAGATAACATTGGCACCCAGACTGTAGGAGGGCGTACTGACGTGCCTGGTATGACCAGAGGCGGCCAGTACAAGTACTCGTCTGCAGTGAGAAATGTCCAGCAGGTGATCACGGCACCTGCACCCATGCCAAGACTACAGGTACTGCAGTCTGTACTGAACTGTAATGTGAAACTGTTGTCACGTGTTTGGGTTTCATGGTTGTTTCTGGTGCCTTGTACCCAAAGTTATGTTCACGACTAGTTTTTCTTACCGAGACATGATCGCAGTAATGCTGTGTCACACTCGATGTCTTTAGGCTGTTCCTGCACCCCTGATGGAGCCACCAGTGCACATTCAAGGCCACGAGCCGCTCACCGCCTCCATGTTGGCTGCAGCTCCACTCATGGATCAGAAGCAGCTTCTCGGTATGGCATCATTCAGTTCAGCTTTTTTCTTCCTCTTTTCTGTAGATTGAAGTAACTTGTGTATTTGGTTGTTAATCCTCTCCCTCTGTTGTGACACACAGGGGAGCGATTGTACCCAGTGATTCATGCCCTTCACCCAAACCTGGCTGGAAAAATCACTGGCATGCTGCTGGAGATCGACAACTCGGAGCTGCTGCACATGCTGGAGACGCCAGAGTCCCTGCACTCTAAGGTTTAACTAACTAACCATTACACAGTTGCTTTTGTTAGGATTTGCATGTCTAATACAATTTTTTTAGATTTAGAAAAAAGCAGTATCCAACGAGTCGCTGCAAAGTTGAGTGTACAAGTGTTTGTTTGACCTTGGAAATAGTAATTTTACACATACACAAAAGGTTTACACATGGTCCCTGACTATTTTTTTAACTGCATCTCAAAGTCTTCAACCACAAACATGTTTACAGCCTGGTACAAAAAAGGCTCTGGCCTCTGTAGCTAATTTCAACATTCAAGACAACTGTACTCACTTGTTTACATTTTATCAAGGCTTTAAGTTACATATAATGATGTGCAGGGCTGCTGGAGTTAGACTGTCAGCAAGGCATGGCTACAGTCTGAGTCAGATTCACCCCTCGCTCCACCACAGATCCAACCTCTCCTCCAAATATGGTCAATGCTTAACTTCTGGCTTCAAAACAGGAGTCAACTAAAGGTTGATGTCACAGTAGCTGTGTTCATTATTTTATACCGTCTGTGACAGAAAGTTACCCCCAGTACAGTTGACATGAATGTTGTATTAACTGTAGAGGCCAAGTATATAGACCTGTATCATGCTGTAAACATTAAGTCTGCTGTTAAATCAGGCATCTTATCATGGAGGTCTATGAGGATTGACTGGCTTCTGAAGCCAGCCTCACGTAGCCTTTAGAGGAACTGCAGTTTTTGGCACTTACTGTGTTGGCTTCATTTTTCATCTCTGGAGGCTGCTGCTTATATCAACCTCACTTGCCTGGTCAAGAAAGTCTGGCACATTACAACTCATAAAACCACAATGTGTTGTGTTTGTCTACAAATTAAGTGAGATATAGAGTGTTACTTAGTGAGCTTTAGAGATGTTGGTAGATGGATTGTGTTGCCTTTGGACAGAGCCAGGCTAGCTGTTTCCCCCGTTTCCAGTCTTCATACTAACCTAAGCGAACCTGACTGGAGCTTTATATTTAACATCTTCTTTTTCCTCTCCTTCGGTCAGGTGGACGAGGCGATCGCTGTCCTGCAGGCTCACCAAGCGAAGGAATGCTCTCCTAAGAAGTGAAGAGCCCTTTCAGGTCAGCAATAACTTCCTCTTCCTGTGTTGAGAGACTTCAGCAGTAAATGGATCCTTACAGCACCCGACTGTTTACAGCACATGCAGCGCTCAGTGTTTACAGTTACTACAAGTTTGAAGTATCTGTTGGAAGTATGGCTCATGTTGACTTAAGGCGAGTGTTTGTACAGATTTGTTCAGGTGTTTACAACAGAACTGAAGTGAATGTTAGGTGTAAATTAATGTCCTGTGTGGAAAACTCCCCCATCCTAAATGGTTTTGCCTTAAGTTACAGTATTTGCTTATTTGGTAAAATGATATTTGATTGTAACATTGGGAAGTCAGAACTTTGGTTGCCTCTGTGACAATCACAGTCTGACAGCTCAGAATGAATCCTGCACAGCTGTGTTTTATAGAAAAAGCGTTTCACACATTAAGACTTTGACCATGTCATTTTTTCCAGATGTCAACGACTTTCTGGAGGAGGGAAAAATAGTAATAAAAAGAGTAAAATTTTGAAAAAAAAAAAAAGAGAAAAAAAAGAAAAGAGAAAAATGTAAATTGACAGTAAAGAGATTTGTAAAGTTAAAGATATTTTGTTGTTGCAATACCTTTTGTTAGAAGATAAAGTTCACAGTATATGCATGAAACCTGTCTTGTGTCATTTGTTTAACACAAAGAGAGATGCTGCAGTACATCATCTTTAGGATTAATATTGTAGTCGTCCACATTCAAATGCAGTGGATAAGACGGTCCCAGATGGTTCCTCAGAAAGGTTCATGGAAGGGACTATGCGCTGCTCTTAAATGAAGGTGTGGTGGTTAATCAGATGTACATTTATCAAACAAACCAGTATGTCTTCATCCTTAAGTCTTTTTTCTTTTAAAACCAAGACATACTGTTTGAAAACACATCTGATGACGCAAAAATCTCAACTTTGTGTTGCTAGCTTTCTCATGCTGTCTTCTTCAGCTTAGTCTCGCTTACCAGACCTTTCTCAAGAAAAGAAAGGTCTGGCTGGGCCGACTCTCACTTTAGGATTGGAGAAAAAACGCCCCAGCTTTTTTTATTTCTTTCAACAAATCACAATCGTTCTTGGCAGTGCCAGCAACGGTGTGCTTGCAAAAATATTGCCGGGGGGGGAGACAGGTTTTGGTGTAACACGCTCACAAAAATATCGTCTACAGGACGCGAACCATGGCAGAAAAATGGCTACATCCCCGCAAGATCAAACACCGCAAAAGTTAGTAAAGGACATGTTGAAAACTGCTACACAACCGGAGGTGGTAGGGCGGGACTTCAGCAGGTGGCTCGTTCCGCCCAGTGAAAGGTTGATCTATGCAGCGAACTTCTGCCCATCTTCAGCTCATTGTGGTGATTTTAGCCATAATGGGCTCATTACTGCCCCTTGAGGTTGAAGAGCAATTAACACTCACTGGTGTTTGATGGTTGGTGAGAGCAAAGCAGCACCCTCCGCAGCTGAAAAACGAAGCCGTTGCAGAAAACTGCAGTTCATCGAACAGCCACTTTAGGCTGGTTCCAAATCAGATTAAATCCCCACAGACTCCCATGTTAAAATGCCTGACTTTACAGCTTTAGGTTTTGTAGCTAAGTTTCAGCATTCATGACAACCCATTTACATTTTATAAAGTCTCAAAGTTACTCATCTTTAAGGGCTGCTTGAGTGACAGGCTGTCTATAAAGCCTCACTTCAGACTACGAGTCAGATTCACTCCTCACCCCGCCATGCCGCCACCCCCTGCTCCCAATATGGTCACCTCTGATAGCCATGGTTGAAATGCCCAACGTTAGGCTTCAAAACAGCTGTCCAGGTGATGTCATGATAGCTATGTCCATTATTTTTATAGTCTGTGGTGAGAGCTGCAGTTGTTGTGGGTGATCCCCCCCCCCACCCAACAGTGGACAGAAAACCTTGACAAGCAACACTAAGTGTGTCAGATTTGCGAAATAGAAGACTTCATGGAGTAAGATGAACTAGTTGGTTCTGTAGTACAGAAATAGTCATAAAGCTGGCAAACTTACTGAGTAGTGTCAATTACATTGCAATATCTTAAGTTAGCTAACATTAGCCACTGTAAGCTGTATGGCTCATGCTGTACCAGACTGAGGGAGGTTGTAGCAGCAAAACCTGAGTATATTGGCTCAGGAAGGGTGTGTTCTTGTTTGTGGCTTATAGTTTATTTGTAGTAGGAAGTGAGTCATTTCATCTTTTAAAGCTGTAGTCGGTAACTTATATATTTGACTGTCATATTTGCAAAACCTGCCACTATATTCACACAGCACTAAATGAGACAGATGTGTAGGGAAAAAGTGACATTGCTTTGCCTCCTTGTATTTCTTACAATGGTCTTATTGCATGTGAGCGATGACCAATCAGAGCTGGAGTCCCACACAGCTGTTGATCACTGCTTGTGAAGTGAGGTCAAACTAGGCACAATGATCAAAGATTCTGTTACTTAACTATCTCTCCTCAAATGTTTTCACGTACTGTAGTGTATTATGCTGTAGTGGGTGTTGGTCTGGCTGGTGAGTGGCGCTTGATGTGTTGTTCAACTGTATTTAACATGGCGACCAGGTCACAAATTCTCATTTTGCAGCTTAGTTTCTGAAAACCTTTCCAGGCGAGTAACAGGCAATGCAGTAACATCTTACTTTATATTTGATAAGCGCTGCCTAGTGTGACTACAGCTGTCAGTCATGTCAATCACTCACTCACACTGGTTCTGATGGGCTGTTTTTGGTGTGCCGTGGTCAGTTCTAGCTGGTGGCAGGAGGGACAGGATTTTTTTTTTCAGACTACCTGCTCATATACGTTGTGGATGTAGTGAGCTCCAGTGAATGAGTTATTTTCTTTAGTTACCAACTGTATCTTTATTAGAGAAACAGAGGATCCAATGCTGTAATTAAAAGTCCCAAAAAAGGGGCACAAAAACATAAAATGAATCGTCAAATTTGCCAAAGTTTATTGGGAGCCTTCATACAAAAAATGAAATTATGGCTGTAAAAAGTTACAAAGGATTATTGTTGACATTGATATACTTTTGGCATTTAAGGCCTATTATCCCAACACAGTTTTTGTAACTCTTTGCAATTTACTTTAAATCTAAAACTGTTGATTTAAACAAGCAGATAAGACAGGAATATTTAAAAACATACGACCAATAGATACCTGCAGATTACTTCTCAGTGGTAGTTTACAACACAAACCCACAAAAAATTGAAAAGCAACTCAAAAGAAAAAAAACTGCCTAGTCTTCAATGGTGAACACATGAACTTGAGGCAACTTTTATTACACACAGCCAACTAATTTCAATGCGTCTGTTTCTGTGACTGCAAACAAATGTATTTACACTGACTTTAATGAGCATGTCTCAGACTATCGACGAGCTGGCATTAGGAGCTGCTTCGCCGTTACTGAATCAGGGAAAAGGTTGTGGTAGGTCGGTAGGGGGACGTAGGCAGCTGTTATCATTTTGCCTGAAAGAGAGAATAAAGAGGACATGTTAAAACCTTGAAAAAAAATCTCCATTTTATGTTGTTTTTTTTACTGTCATTTAAAGATTCAAAAGCAAACACACCTGCAAACCAGCGTCCATGAAGTGCATTTACAGTTGCCATCGCTGCTGGTATTGAGGGACACTTCACATACACATTACCCTGAGTGAAAGAGAGGACAAAAGATTTTCTATCAAACTAGTTTTTAACCATTCTGTCCACAGTGACGTCTGTGGATCAACTTGAACATGGATACTATTTCCCCTTCAATACCCCAGGGATAAGCTGAATTTTTTTTTTTTTTGTTATTTGTCTTAACCGATAAAACATCCGCAATCATCAACTTACTTGGGCAGAGTTCTTATCAACATAAATGTGAACGATCCCTCCGTGTTTGTTGCACTCCTCAATAACATCGTCTTGGATCTCGATGGCCCAGCTGGGATCGTTTTCACTAAATAAAAAAGAAACATAATGGTTATGTTAAATCTAGTGGCTTCAGAAGCTTAAATTGTTAGTATTCCTGACACAAGAATTTTAAAGGAATAGTTCATACATTGCAGTTACTGATCATTGAAGGGTGTAATAGTTGCCAAAAACATCCATCTTTTAAAAATCTCTCAAAATGAATCAAGCTCTTCTGTGTGAGGTCCAAATGTCTGATGTTACAAATCTTCAAACCTACCACTGAACCTTATACTGTCTTTACTTTATGCATGCACTTACATGCTTGCAAAATGTAGATTAACCCAACTATATTCCTTGAATAAGAAAGAATTTGTCTAAAATGATCTTGAAAGGCATTAAATTAAAGAGTCAGATACCTGTGGACACCCTGTCCTGTCCATACTGGCCTTAAAGACCACTTCTTAAAAGGGATGTCAGAGTAAGAGATGAGAACCAAAATCCAGTCTTTGTTCTGTGTAAAGAACTGAATGTATATGAGGCCTCTACTCTTTAATGTATCTTTTAGTAAGAATGATTTTATTGTCAAATTCCCTCTTTGTACCTCAACACAGTAAAACAAAGTAGGAATTTAGTACTAGTATGACTCCGAACTTTGGAAGACACCCACTTGGTTTGTCTAACTCTTCTGCTACAGCCTCAGATCAGCTTTAGTTGAACTTTGGGAATCATTTCTACTCTGAACAGTTCACATCATTTACGCTGTAAATGTTTTAATTCCTTCACATTTACAAACAGGAGGAACAGTTACAAAGATTCATTGTACATTTGGGCATTTAACTAATGTTTCAAGACAAACTTTAAAAAGTAGCTAAAACAAAAATGTCCTTACGCTTGTGGGTTGAACAGGTTGGACAGCTGAAGGCAGTGTGTGGCCAGCGGCTGTGAGGGGAGGTTCAAGGCTTGGCTTGGAGCTGGAGTAGGAACAGCTGAAACAGAGAGAGAATTATTATTTGTCACTGAATTTTCTATTAAATCAATAAATACACAAACACAAAAAGCTTTCAATCATCTCACCTGGTGGAGCAGCGATGTTTCCAAATGGTATGGACCCGGTCATCTGTAGAGCCTGCTGTGCAGCAGGAGGGATCTTCAGTCCAGTTCCTGTGGAGAAGGAGAAATGACAATATTTTAATGTGTGACACTAAATCTAAAGACTGTTTCATGACACTGATAGACTTATCAAAGACATGTCTTATGAAAAGTCAAAATGGAGCCCTGCGGGTGAGTTCTGCAATGAATTAAGACCGGTAACATAAAAATAATTGACACTTTGACAAGTCAGAACCACAAAGCCACTACAAAGTATGAAAAGATTGAGCCAATAGCCAGCGTTTTTCCCCATGGCCAGCGTATTTTAATTCTTTGCAAGGGCAGTGCTGCGTATTTACCCTATGCAAAAAATGCCGGCAATATGAAGAGGCCCTAGGTGTGCATGTTTGCCGTTTTTTCTGGGCATCAAGAATTTAAAAATATTTAATTTTGTAAAATGCTGCACTCTTCACTGTCAAGTTTTATCCCAGCCATCCAAACATAATGGAGAGGGGCAGGACATATAGCCAACCACAAACACCAACTGTCACATCTAGCTTAATCAGGTGCTTGACAACAACAATGGAGAAGAAGTATGTTGATATCGGGGTATATGGTATATGACTCCATTTTGTG